ATACGTAACCTAAACATCTGTACCCCCATAATATGCTGAAATAAAAAAAAATTCCTTAAAATAAACTTTTCAGCTGGTTATTTTCATCAGATAACTATCATAATTAAACTTCAGGCCTGCCTGAATTGATCATCACGTTGAATAAATGTAATTTTTATTTTCACTTGATGAATCATGGCTGTTGACCATTGAATGAAATAGTTTATTGAGTAACTTTATGTTTTGTTACTTTTGCACCCTAGTTTAAAAACAAAGAGCTTAATTTCTTATAAGTCTAATAAAATGTATTTTTGATATTTCCACCATAACTTTACAAGCAATTTCTCTCCTCTGTCCTGTAATAACTACCTTCTGCATTTTTATGATTTCATTTAACATTATTATTGTAATTTTTTACTGGGCAAGCCCATCAATGCCCTTGGCGGCAAGATTTTGTTGCAAGAAATCCAGAAGCTGAGCCTGTCATTGGTTGCAACAGTCATAAAATTTCTCTGGATTGAGTTCAGAGGCTTACCCTGACATTATGAATGTCACCCACCTCATGCCTCTTTCATCAGCTTCTCCAAAATCTGTGATCAGTTTCAGTCCTATAACCTGCTGCTTAAGTGAGCGTGTATTTTTTATACAGTGGTTTTGCGTTATAAGTATTTCATTTGGAGAACATCTGGCTTTGATGGAATCCAGCCAAAATAATCAGTGGTATGTATATTAAAAATGTAATACCTTAGTAAAATCATTAATGTATTTGCATTTCTCCAGAAACTGTGAATGGATTCATTCTAGACAGGATGTGGTCATGTGGCATTAACTATAGGGCTAGATGCTGTGCTTTTCTTTTTGGTCAGGTGCACCCCCAGCAAGAACACAGAAACTCTGAGGAATCTTAACAATTCATTCTTTCAATTATGAAATAAAATTAAATAGACTATAAAAAGCCATTGTACTATTATGTATTAGGAAATACTGAATCGTGTGTCCAAAAGTCACACTTAAGACCAGGCAATAGCAATAAGCATAGGATGGCTGTGGATACTATGAGATAATGTCTACTTGTCAGAAATGGATGGTATGTTGTGGTTTTTTTTCCATCAAAGTTTGAAAGTTAATGATGTACTTGATGTTTTTATTACTTCTACTGAGAGATCAATTAAGGAATAAAAGGGATCCTGGCATGCTGTTATTATTATTTTTCACTGTGAAAAATATATGTGAATATATATTGAATATATATTCAATATATATATGAATATATATTGAATATATATGTGAATATATATTGAATATATATTCACATATGAATAAAACCATATTTGTTATATCATGCTCTGTTTCATACATCCTAGATTGTTTTTAGGAAAATTTAGTACCTATCACTTCAGTCATCTGAAAGGCATCATTTCTTCATTACAGCTCATAACTTAAAACTATAAAATATCAGCCATAAAAAAATTGGCCCAATTAAGAGAAATATGATAATGGTAGAAAAACACATACAGACATGACTGGGAGATGATAAGATTATTTTAATTTTCCTATTTGCACTGGAATTATTTATTTTACAAATCTCCAGATCTTTTATTACTTAAAACCCTCTGCTGAATCATGAAAAGAAGCTTAAGTTAGCAATTTTCCTCTGCAAAATCTAGCTGCTAGCATCTGGTGAACACTTGGATACCTAGTCAGGTCCTATGGAAATGATTATTTTAAGACTCTATTCAACATGCCTGGACTTAAAAATCAGTTATGATCACACTCTGCACATGTATTCTACTACAGGGGATTTAAAAACCTGATACTAGTAGCTATGGTCTCAAGGCTTTTGCACCAGTGGGGATGGGGGTGGGGATGGGAGATAGAACGCGCACAGGCAGACGGAGGAGGGTCTACCAACAGTCCCTGTGCTCCCGGAGACCCCCTGCTTCACCTGGGGCCACCCAGACTGCTGCCCCGCCCTCTGTCGCTCCTCACACTTACATTTAGACTTGACCGTCCTGTGGAATTGAGGACCAATGCCCTTGCTCCTGCCTTCCCGTGGCACCCCTGGGACTGGTTTCTGCCTCTTCACCGGATGCTGCTCTACTTCCAGAACAGCTTCTGAAGTGGAAAAAAGAAGGATGCTTTTACTCAATTGGAAAGACAGTAAGAAGCAGAATTATTATCAACGTGTATTGTTTTTGGATCCCAGGAGAAATTACGTAATACACATTTCAATTAAAAAATGCTATTATTTACCGAAATTTAAGGAGATATTAGAGTTTCTTTTCTGCTGATTAGGAGAGATTTTTTTTGTTTCTGTACAGTCAAGTATGCATTTGTTTATTTTTATGCATATACTATATATAGTTTTTGTCCAAATAAACAATGTATTGTACATGTTTATTGCTTTTCATAGTTATATTATGTGCTAAGTCCTATTACTTCAATTCTCATTAATACAGATTTGGGATTATTTAGAAAGAATTTGGGCATATACTATAGAGAAAGCAAATTTGTGAAGAAATAATACCTCAGAAAGAAAAGTTAGGTTAACTTAGGAAAAGTGAACTGTTCGAAAACACATTTCCCATCCAATTTGTATACAACGGTATTTGAGTTAGAAATTATTCTT